GGACTCAGCCCCCCCCCCCCCCCCCCCCCCCCCCAAAAAAAAAACAACCGAGCAAATATTGCATTTTGTGCGGCGCCTTTCCAACCCCGTAGTTTTGCTTTTCCTCCCCGCATCTCCCCGCTCCGTGCCTCATTAAATCCTTTGTATCATCTCTGACAGCACACCCTCCTCCCTCTCTCCCCCTCCCGGGTGGAGGCAGACTTGAGTAGGCTACAGTAGGCGGCTATCGTTATTTCTGCTCTTACTGTGTTCCTCCAAGTGGGAGGTGTTTGTCATCTACTCTTCCCACCCTGGAGGAGCGCAGCAGACCTCATAATGCTCTTTCAAGCAATGAGAACTTAGCTCAAACTCAGGTGTTGCCCAGTCACCTCAGAGGATGGAGCTTCATCTCCACTCCTCTCCACCCCTTTTTTTTAATACAACTTTTATTGTCATTGCAGCCGTCGTCCCTCTCTCTCCAGGAGAATGAGCCGATGGAAACAGCCAGTGAAGAAGAGGAACGGGAAAAGAATGAGGAAGAAGAAGAGGAGGAGGAGGAGGAGGATGATCCCCGGAGTTCTGATGAGGAGGGAGGACTATCCCCGGTAGCCATGACAACCGAACCAGAGCTCATTGAGAAAACCACAGAAGATGCTGAGATCCATACAGCATCAAAGCAGGAGAGCCCCCAACAGCAGCAGCAGCAGCACGGTGGCAAAGGTGTGTGCGCGTGGACGTGAGCGTGCGTGCTGATTAAATGCACTCATTATCACTAGTAACCCTCCCCCTGTTAGTCAGTACGACTGTCATGACTGCTGTATTTTTGCGTTTAAGAATGTAATTTTAGGCATAAATATTTAATTTTATTTACTTTTTACACCTGTGATCATAACTTAAACTTATATTTTATATTCAAATATGAACATAGAGTAACTCAAACTTTATTTACGGTCATTTAAGACAATAAATAACTACTGTCTTTTTTTTTTTTTTTTTTACCTTGTTTCTGCTGAAAAACAAGCAAAAAAAAGATATAGTAAATAATATTAATTAATAATTGGCATAAATAAATAATAAAAAAATAAATAAAAATATTGTGCTAACAAAAAATATTACTAAGAATTTTTTTATTAATTGTTTTTTTAAAAAAAAAAAAAAAAAAAAGTGGTCGCTAGTCTTCCAGTTGTCCGCTCACAAAACATTAAAAATACCTCAATTTAAAATCACATAGTATCAAGGAGATGATAAAATTCAATGTCAGTCCAAAATAAAGAAAAAAAAAAAAATAGTAAAAAAAACATAATAGTCAAAAGTCACTGTACCAAAATAAGAATAAAATAAAATTAACAAAAATGTTCCAGAACTGCCGTAACAAATTATTATTGTAACAACTGTTATTAACTATGAATTTTGACAACTATTATTTCTAACAGGAATAATAATAATAAAAGTAAAAGCCAGTCTTTAATCTTTTCTCTTCCTTCTTTTCGTCTGGGTTTGCCTTCTCGTCTCTAAGAGATGTGCGGGCTTGATTCCTTCACCAGGACACCGCATCCACCTGTTCATGGAGCCTCCCTGTCACAATGTAACAGCGCATACTTGGAGGAGAGAGCTGTCGTCCCCGATCAGCTTCATATGGAGGCACAGGTGAGTGCAAGCATCTGTCCTGTTGGTTTTTACTGTGGGATGATGTTATCAAAACAAGTCCAAATTACTCAAACGCCAACCATGACTGAGTCTGAGTGCGGACCTCTGTTGCATCTCGCCTGTTATCTCTCTACAAATGTCTCTAATAAAGTGTAAAAATCCCCCAATACTTTTAAAAAAATACCAAAACATGTCCTATGTCTCTGTCTTTACCAGTGGTGGAAGAAGTATTGAGATTCTACACCTTATTAAAAGTGTTATATGGTGTAAAATTACACGTTATGAGGAATAGTCTGTTTAAGTATTATATAATTTATACATACTAATTTATTTGATTATTAATGCTGATGCATTTACATGTATGATAATGTAGCTGGCCAAGACACTGCCTCTCTTAAGTATTTCATTATACCTTTATATTATGTGCATAATTTTTATACCTGAGTGAAGTGAAGTAGACATCTAAAGTAGCATTAGATTTATAGAAATATTTAAATGAAGTGTAAGTACTTTGAATTTGTTATGATGTACAAAACTTAAATGTACGGCGTTCTTGAGTAGCATTTAAAAGTCTGATCAAACGGTGACTGGAAAGTCAACCTTGGCGGTCAGTGTAAATGTCATCCTTTTCAAGTGCTCTAAATACATCATTACATTCTCAGTGATGATTTGCTGCACACTTTCAGCAGCACGCTTGCATTAGCTGTAACCAGGGTCAGAGGGTTCACTGTAGCGAGAGCAAACACAGACACCTTGCCTGATCCTCATTCACACTTAACTGAATCAATAACCACAGAATGGGCTGTGGATGTTTGAACTGCATTTCAGTGAGGTGATCACAGAGGTAAAAATTATTCTTGACATACCGCTTTCT